TTTTGTTTTCTTGTATTTTATCGCTCTGCTGACCCTTGGGGTCCATTTTATTTTGGTATACCTTTTCTAGGTACGTTAGCCTGTGACCACGGAAATTGGCCGAGTCAAGTGATGGATTAGTACGGAGAGATTGAGACAGAAGGAGGTACTGGATAGAGAGACCGGGATGGTTTTTAATGTGAAGACAACAACAACAACAACATAGGGGACGCTCCCCTCCCCAACAGCCCGCACACAAATATGCGTTGCCCCTCTCTGCGGTCTGCGTCGCCCCCCTGAGGTTAATCACCACCGCCCAACGCGTGCACACATCAGCGTACAGATTGTGCTCTACACGCCGAACAGATAGTGCACCGTTCATCTACGACACACAGAAAATCATGTACCTGCGACAAGCAAGCGCGCTGGCTGCTCGCCGCGCGACCGCGGGCTCAGTCCGCAGGCTCGCAACGGGCAAGGATGTCAAGTTTGGGGTGGAGGGGAGGGCGCTTATGCTGCAGGGCGTCGACATGCTCGCCGACGCTGTGCAGGTGAGCAAGCCGTCAGGCTCACGCGAGACTGCTGCTACTGCACGCCTTGCTGTGCGTGCTGTCGTGGCGGGGCGCTCGCGTCCTTAACCCCTTCTTCTTGGCCGGATGCGGTGTTGCAATCCTCAAGAGACCTCATCCGGTGTTGTGTGTGGTGCTGCTCTGCTGTACAGCAGTACCCACGACTACAACCGCCACGTGTCATTGCATGGTGGAACCTGAGTCGGACATGCATAGGCACGGCGGTCTTGATCTGGCAGCGTAGCTGCTGTTGCGTAGCCGTCGCTTCGGTGCTTGACAATCGGTACTCAAGCAGCAGGCCCAAATCTCCGTCCAAGTCTTGAGGTCAACTTCAGTGAAGTCGATCAAGTTGCGGTGCGGCGGGGCGTTTTGTTGCGTCTGGCGGGGGGTAAGTTTCAACGGCATGCATCCACAGCTGTTCATCTGCAGCCGCCCACCATTCTCCGGCTGTGGAGGTAACCTCATGATGCAAGAAGGCCCCTATCTAGCAGCAGCTACTGTGTGGTATCTCTCATTTTCGGAGCCCTTTGCTTTCAGACGAAGAAGTTGGCCTGCGCTTGCCTTCTAGAAAAAAAATTGCTCCCGATGCAGGTGTGTACGGTTGTGCGAGCAGCACGTCAGTCCGTGTGCACAGCAGAGGGTTGCCTTGCTATCATGTCGCGATTCTCCCTCGTTAGCTCGGTCCCCTGACTTGTGGGCCTTCAATACTGCATGCAACTGGCGGCATGCACGAATCACGCCTGCGGGCAGCAATGTTGCAGTTTGTTTGTAGAGGCCGGCGTTGCGGCGCGGGAACGTCCCACGAAATGCGGTGCAACTTCCAACCTCCGTTGTAGATATCTTTCACCAGCCACAACCATCCCATGTGCTGTTACCTCGTTGACTTATTCGAATGCTTGCTTCAGTGCTTGCCCCTTCACGTAAGCTGCTGAAACCCGCAGCTCTTATCACGGCTGTAAGCGGCGGGGGGTGGCCTGGGGCAGATGTTGGTTTTGTTTAGTTTACGATACAACCACCGGTGCGACGAAGGCACAATCGAGAATCTTGTGTGTTTTGAGTGTGGAGCCCTGAGAGCACTCAACATGACTGCATATTTGTTTTAGAGTCGAGAGTAGCAGACGTGTGTTTTGGTGGAGTCATTCGAACTGGAGGACGACTAATTGTCTTCCTGACGATGGGGGAAGCAAAGCAAAGCCTGGCGATGGAGTCGGGGGTGCACAGCAGTATCAGCAGCGGACCGTGCTTGGAGGAAGCACCTCGGCATTTCCCGTAGCCTACAACAGCCACAACAAACGAACCACTGGCCACCCCCACGCCGTACTAAACCTTGGCGACAACTTATTCTGTCGCTCTCGGTTGCGATTGAACGTGGCGGCAACTCGTCGTGTGTCCGTCCTTGTTTTATATTTGTACAACCGGTTCCTGCGTTTTTTGCGGCGAAAACTCCTGCGTGTTCACGGGCTCTGCTTATCCTGAAGCCTGTGTGCGAACCCACGAATCACTTCGCGCTTGTCGCGGAAACGAACGTCGCAGGTGACCATGGGCCCGAAGGGACGGAGCGCTATCCTGGAGCAGACCTACGGCGTGCCGCGCATCACCAAGGACGGGGTGACGGTGGCCAAGAGCATTGAGTTCAAGAACAAGTTCCACGACATGGGAGCGCAGCTCGTGCGACAGGTGTGAACACTGAACACGGCTCAGTTTCCGACGTTATGCAGCAGCAGCAGCAGCAGCCAGCGTCGATGGCATGCGCATTGTTTGACTCGGAGGAGTGGTATGTAGTGCGATGCAGGGTTGTTCGTCGGTTGCATGCGGTTTTAACCGGATTGTTACTCTCGGAGGGGTGGTAAGAATACGTTGCAAGGCGGCTCGGAGGAGTGGTGGCACGATGCAAGGGTGTTGCCCTGGAAGAGGCGTGTGTACGGCCTCAAGAATTGTCCCGAGAAGCTGGGAGATAACAGACCACCAACCGATTGGATGATGGAATGTTGGCACTGCCTTCGAATTTCCGGCAACGCCCATGGGAGGTAGTTTTTCTTTCAAGATCGGGCACTGGTGTGGGCATTTCCAGGCACAGGATGCCTCCGTCGTGCATTCGCTTGGCGGCGTTTGCTGCGTTTATTTCGTCTGATTCTTCAGCTGGACGAACTACGCTTGTTCTTTCGGATACGATCCTTGATGCCACGATAAGTGGTTCGTGTTCCCCCCTCAATGCCAAGCATTTTCGACACCATCCTGTGTCCACAGCAATCATAACAGTCGTCGTGCTGAGCCCTGAAGACTCCACCAGCAGACCCCTCTCGCCGCCTTCCACCTTGCTCTCTGTGGGTGCCCCCCGGGAAGAGAAGGCTTCTGTTGCACGATTGTTTGCTCCTCGCAGGATGTCATTTTTGTGAGGAGTTGTAGCGGAAAGGCATCGCCAACAGCGTCCTCTCAAGGCGCAACACGCATACCCCCCCCCCCCCCCCCCCCCC